TTCACTTGGATGAGGTTCTCCTTGTTTTCTTCTGTGGAATTTTCTGGATTTGAATGTGTAATATTTAAATACTTTGAGAATTGTTTTGGCAAAGTCATCTACATTGCATAGGTTAAAGAATGTCATTAGCGTGGTGTTTTTTTTTTTTTTTTTTGAGTTTCAACCAATTCCTGAGCATTGTCTTTGATAAAATATATTCACTGTCCATTTTAAAGATGAACACTCAAGTGCTGAACTGATGGGTGTCTGTTGTGAATGTTAAATGAAAAAATTTTCAAGGCAGGCTCATTGCTAGAAATGTATCTTTCTGACTTAAATTTTTTCTACTTCATTGTGGTTGTCAATGGCAATCACAGCTTGGTCGCTCCCTTTATTTATGTACTTGCACACATCCTTTATGGACTTAACACTGTTACAAAATTCCACATTAATGTAAGCATTGAATGCTTTGCACAGAAGTTGACTATAGGGAACAACCCATTTGTTGTCTGCTACTATATTTTGTTCATTTCTTTTAAGGTTGAACCTAAATCCTCCATTTTCAATCTTTCGTCTTCTGTAACTTGGGTAGCCATTTGTATCCATTTTTCTGTGATTGACAAATTTTCTTTGAAATCTTTTTGTATATCTGTTGTCAACCATGCAGGGACAATTGAAATTAAAATTACCACATGGTCCATGAATCATGTCTTTTTTATTATTTCAAAAAGCCCTGGATTTTCATTAGGGTTAAGAAGTTCTGCACTGATGATAGAATCTATTTCATTTCGATTGAACGTCTCCCTTAGCCATAAAAGTAAATGTAGATGTGGTAGTCACCTCTTTTACCACTCAATTGAATCCATGGGACATTTTACAGGTCCAAATATTTCTCTTTATTGATGAGATCCATAAGTATGTTGACCTTCAGCTTAAAACTCCTAGCATCAATATCATGCCTGTTTGTTGCTGATTCTCGACGGTTGCGGGAACAGCGGGCAATTTTTGTTCCTAGCTCGGGTGTACACGCTCGGTCCCCACCTAAAAAAACTGACCTTATGTTACAACTCGTCTTAGTGGGGAGACAGAGTAAATACCTAGTGTGTAAGCCTCTCTCTCTCTCTCTCTCTCTCTCTCTCTCTCTCTCTCTCTCTCTCAGTCAGTTTGTAACACATTATTTCTCATCTCACAGTTGCGTCTCTGTGCAAAGTGCACTCAGGGGAGACTCCGTCAAAGTGCAGAGTCGCAACTGAGGAAAATTATACTGAGAAGTGCCCAGCCCTGGGGAACAGCTGTTCGAGGCCGCGTCCTCTCATTGCACCAGAGAGAGGGATTGCTTCTCGCGACGAGGCAAGTGCAACCTACGGCTGTGGGGGCTCGGGTAATTTTATTCCTAGCCCAGGGGTACGCGCTCAGGTCCCCACCTTAAAAACTGACCTTGTCTCGCATCTCGTCTTAATGGGGAGACAGAGTAAATACCGTGTGTAAATTACTCTCGAGCGGTTTGTAATATGTCTTAGATAGAATACGCTCAGGGAAGGTTTCGTCATAGGATAGAGTCGCAAATGAGGCAATTTATACTGATAGGTACCGCCGGGAACAGCTGCCCGAGGCCGCCCCACCCCCACATTGCACCAGATAGAGGGATTCTCTCTCCATATGTGGTCAGCCACGCCTAATTTTTCTACTTCTCCTCGCGTTACAGCTTTCTGGTGTTCTTGAAGCCTTACCTTGTGGGGTCGGCCTGTCTCTCCTTTATATTCCTTTCCGCAGCTGCACAGTATAGCGTACACAGTCTTTAGTCATGTTCTCCTCTATGGGGAGGTCTCACTCGAGAGAGATATCTGCGAAGTGTTGTAACGCTTTTGAAGGTTGCCCTAATGTTATATGGACCGCAGATTCTTTGTATTTTCTCTGATAACCTCTTCACATAAGGCAGGCAGACTGTGTTGTTGTCCTCCTCCTCCTCTTGTATCCGCCTATCCCAGATTTTTGGGGCTGCTGCCATGTACCCAGGGCAGTTGTTACTTTGTAACTTATACTGACCAATTCTTTATCTAACGTCTCTGGATCGCCACTTATGACTTTTGATCGGTGTTGTAAGCAACGGACGATCCCTTTCTTTACACTGTATGGATGGTGGGAGTTGAAATTGAGGTAGTGTCCGGTGAATGTTTGTTTACGGTATACGGATGTCTTGAACCCATGCTCTGTTCGAGATATTAGTACATCCAGGATTGGGAGTGTGTTGTTACTCTCTTTCTCCATTGTGAACTGTATCGAAGGTCTTATTGAGTTCACATGGTCCAATAGAACCTGAACATCTCCCTGGTGTGGCCAGAGTATGAAGGTGTCATCTACGTACCTTAACTATATAGTTGGCTTTAGAAATATATATTCTAATGTCATTTCCTTAAAGTATTCCATGTATATATTCGCCATTGCTGGTGATAATGGCGAGCCCATTGCTAAGCCCTCATCCTGTCGATATATGTGTGATCCCATTCCGAAGTGTGTTGTTTGTGTACTGAAAGTCAACATCTCCATCAGATTATCTATTGGAATACTGGTCCGTTCTTCTAGGGAAGAGTCAGAGGTCAATCTGTCTCTGACTACTGGGAGTGCCTCCTCCGTGGGTACCTTACTGAACAAACTCATCACGTCCAAGCTCACCATCTGGTTGGATAGGATGTAAGCATCTTTGATTATTTCCACGAAGTGGGCGGAGTTTCGGACATATGAAGGAGACTTTCCGATCAATGGGTCAATTATATCTACACGGAAGCGACTCAGAGGGTGGCACACAGAGCCGACCAAGCATAGAAATAAATACAATATGGGAACCAGTAATAAGTAGTGCCAGAGAAAAGCAATGATAACAAAGTTACAATATGAGCTCTGGTAAAAAAAATGCAATGATAAGAGCAAAATTGCAATATGAATTCATACCCAGATGTCCTCAAGGACACATGGCACAGTGGATAAAGGCGTTGGTTAGATCCAGTGACAAACCCAAAGAGTATGAGTTCAATACCCGGTTAAGGCAGTGGAGAAAACTAGCAGGAGATAACTGACACGTGGAACTAGAACAGTCTACCCCAGTTCGAAATTCTAACCACCTGAAGAAGGCCGGAGCGTACAAATATGGCGACAAAGATGAGAACAATAGTCGGACTAATGTAAATACTGTACGTACTACCTCATCTCAACAATATAGACAGACTCTGAACAACATACATATGGCAAGTCCAATATATATATATATATTAATTTATTTAATTTATATATATATATATATATATATATAAACTAAATAAATTAATTTACCTAAATTTTATTGAGGTCTGGTCTACTTAACGTATTGAGCACTGTATTAAGTCTTTTGCTTATACGTATCGGTTCTTTTTTTTTCTTTGGACTTCGGACTTGAATGCTAGACGATTATTTTCGGCTGACGTACATGTTCTTGGTTCTTTCATTTTATACCGAAATATACTTATAAGATTATTACTAATATATATATATATATATATATATATATATATATATATATATATATATATATAGGCTGCAAACATTCGTTTAAATATGAGAGGATAGATATGGAAACTTTTCATGAGTCTCTTCAGTTTAGGCGCCGAAAATGTCGTTTTTATTTCAGGTGAAAAATTATATTGAATATTGCAGAAATTGCGTATAATATTCTGAGTCCTTTCGGCCAACATTGGTCATGTTCAAGTAAAGAAAGTAGAAATCAAAAGAAGCTCTTACGCTGTTAACGCTCTGGAGTTTGAAATGAACATACGTCAATATGCTATGCTTCTGGGATAGATTTTAATGCCACGTGACCAAACTGATCTTACGGCTCATAGGTATTTAATACGTATACAGTATACAATATTGTATTGACGGTGGATGCCTACCGTTTAATGTGGAGAGCTTCCAAAAAATTTACTTGTTATTCATTTATTTATTTATTTATTTTTTGTATTAGTTGCGTATCGTTCTATTATCGATCATAACCTGACTCTGATTAGAATCGATGCCGTGTACTTTTGTTAAATGGTGTTATAATTGGGGAGATCAAAGGTCAGATATCTCCAGAGAATTGCTTTAATCTGAGCAATATTTGTTGATTTTCTTTTCGTCAGCAATAGTCTCCCACGAGACAAGACAACTGCTATATAACATTAGTCTTTGTAATATATATATATATATATATATATATATATTTGATATATATATATATATATATATATATTTATTTGAGGTGAAGTGTTTTCAGGAACAGCGTGGTTGAAAGTAACATACGACTTCTCCATTTTCCATGAAAAATATTATTAAATGATATGTTGCGGGTTTGAATCAACCGAAAATCTAAAAAGGTGTTTAAATATTAATATATCAGATATTTCTATGTCCATGTTTTTTTAACAACTAAATTTTTCGTAGCGTCTATGAATTAAAGTTGTTTGTTAAAATGAAAATAAATGTGATTTCTTTGCAAGTATGTGTGAGAAAGAGGGAAGAGAGGAAGTGAGGAGGAAAGCGTAAGTGTCACGTAGCTTGGTGAGAAAATAAGGGAATTTATAATAAGCCAAGCTCATCGTGAACTGCTGTAGTATCTCCTTACTGTTTTTTTCTGGTTTAGAAAGTATGCTTAAATAATCTTCAAGAGGGTTACAAAGTATTACAAAGAACAATTTATTGAATAATGTTAAATATTTATTTTGAAATCATTATTTTATTGACTCGAAGAATGTGCGAATACTCTGACTCAGAAATCATTTTTTTCTTATTTGATGTTTGACCGGTTAATTTCCGTCTTCGCTCCACAGATATGTCGTTTATATCTCTATATTTAAATATATACAAGCAACGATAATAGCCTATGTGCAAAGTAACCCAATTTTGCTTGCGCTAATTAGTTTGGTATATAATTTTGGTAATTAAACCAGTTTAAGAATCACTTAAAGATTCCGCTTGTTCTTTTGTTCCTTAATAAAAGCCGGACGTCAGCTTCAACATCGACGGCCGGTCGGCCGGTAGAATTTGTTGATGAATTTCGCTTCCTTGGCAGCAGCATCTCGAATAATGTCACCTGCCAGAGAGACTTGACAACAGTATGAGCCGCTTTTTTTATAAAAGTGGCTCATACCGCGCACGGATCGCTCCCCTATGTGGTCTTCAGCAATGTCTACCTGACTGTCCGTCCTGCATGACATGGACTTTGTGTCGTTGGGACATGAAACGTCTGAAGCGGTTCCAGCAAACGAAGCTCAAAAAAATCCTTTGCATCAGTTGGGAGGACCGCATCACCATCAACGAGGTCCTATTTCGGGCAACTCTCCCCAGCATTGAAGTTACTATCCTTCAACATCGCCTACGATGGTCTGGCCACATGTCGAGAACGCATCCCACTCGACGCCCACGTATCATCCTGTTTGAAGAACTCGCCAGAGATAAGAGGTTAAGCGAATGCACAACACGACGTTGAAGAAGAGATCCCTCGCACACCCAACATCGACCCTGAGACCTGGGAAACCGTTGCTGTAAATTGACCTTCCTGGCATAGGACCATCCGAGCAGGGGGGGCGAAACTTTCTCGAGTCCAACCGTCAACATGAAGAGAATCTGCGAAGTGATGTCAGGAGTGGCCGAATCGCCCAGCTGCATCCAACACCCACACTCCTCTGTGACTCCTGCTCACGACTCTTCAGGAGGAGGAGGCTGGGTCTTCATAGTCATCTACGCCAACGTCACCAGAGGGGAGAAAGAGAACAGTAAGTAAGCAGTTAGTAAGCGCATAGGGTACATCCTGATAATACCTCTTAAATAATGGATTATTCCGTTTTGAAGATGAGGAAGAAAAGAAAGGTAATAAAAGAGACACTGCTTGGTTTCAGTGATTGAGAGAAAGGAAGAGGCGGTGATTACACTCTCAGCTGTTTAGCGTCTGCTTCGATGAAATAGAAAAAAAATCTTGTAAACTAAATATTCTGTTCGTAACAAACGAACACAACACATTAAGAAAAGGAGTTTTCTCTATGACGAATATGGAAAAAATTATATATATATATATATATATATATATATATATATATATATATATATATATGGGATGTGACGATAAATAATTTTATATATATACACTAGAGTTCAAAAGGTATGAGGCCACCCATTTTTTTTTAAATTGGCCCCCAAAGTATTTAAATGACAGAAAATTATTATACATGGGTACAACGAAAGTGAGACAGAAGTTTTTATAAGAAATTTTAATATGACAAAACGACAAAAAAAAATTTCATTATTAAATTTTGCTCTCGTCAAAATATCCTCCTTTAGCCTTGATTAATGCCGCAGAAATATTTGGCATTCCATGCAAGTATAAATTTAATAATTCATTCCATTGTTGAATCAATGACTCTAAGAGCTATATATATATCTCACACACACACATATAAATATATTACAAAAAAAAAAATATATATATATATATCACACACACACACACATATATATATATATATATATATATATATATATATGTATTGTGAAGACTTGTTTATTCTCTGGTTGACTGCTTTTTGGAGATAAGCACATATTTTAAGACAAAATATAGGCAAAAATTTGGTTAGGATAATCAATTATTGATTAGTAAGGAAATTATATTATATTTCTCATTGGTTATTATTATCATTATTATTATTATTATTATTATTATTATTATTATTATTATTATTATTAATGTAAGTCATTTGGAAATGGATAATTGAATTTTCCTATTTACATACACTGAATAATTTTAATCCAATTGTTTATAATTTCGAACATTCATCTTATCTATATTTGCTTTATTGTTTTGTTTTTTGTTTGTTTTTATTTTTGTTTAGTTGACCGCTTAAAGTATATACCAGTGTATAATGTATCCTTTCATACCAATATTACTTCTTTTTATGTCCTATGTTCTTGTAGATCGTCAGCAGTCGTGTCTATCCAAAACATTTCTACCCATTGGATCTGAAATCAATATTTGTCTCCCTAAGATCCTTCCCAACCCCTGTTCTGTCATTTGCTATAGTCGTTAGCTAAGTTTATGTTACTACCTGTCGCTCTTCCCTATGTCCAGTGAGTGTCAAATTCTCCGAGCCGTTTTTCTTCATAATATAACCAAAAAAATTTATTAGTTTGAAATCTAAAATCTGGCCAACGTGAAGACACTCTGCCGCACAAAGCAATTTACACACACCAATGGAGACATCCTAGAGTTAGATCATATTTAACACACTCTGACGGGTCTGAATCTGTACGGATTGGAGAGGATGTTTGATTCAAGCCAACTGGAGTCCGCAGCACGACAAAATGGACAAGAGGAACGGTTACCGGGGCGCAGTCGAGCAACAATGTTGAGGTGGATGTTATGCCAAGAGATCTTGTCCTTTGAGTGATTCAGGAGGATTCAGAGAATGATGCAGACAATGGGAGAAGTTCTCAAGAGGCTCAGGTCCAAACACTGCGGAAAGAGAGCGACACCCGCCCAGATGGATGGATGACTATGTAACATGAGATGTGATCATGAGATCGGGGTGGTGGGGTGTAGTTTGAAAAAAAACTTACCTCATGGACGCCCGTACGTAAAAATGTATCTCGTGAGGAAGCCATATTGTTTTTGTAACTGACAAATTAACGCAAAATCACGGTGACCACGAGCTTTGAAAGAATATTAATATGCAGTGTACGAAAGACGGCGTGACAATAATACGTCGAATACAACATCTACACTTTTTCACTTTCTAATTTTAAATTGCAGATTCTGATTAGCACCTACTAATTTAGGCCAGTCTCTCGAATTTAAACTACAATTTTGACCGTATCTTTCTGGTCCGAAATATAAGTGTCCTTGTTCTTTCCATTTTCTTTCTAGTTTATAAGTTGCTCAGCTGTTGTGTCTATGGTATTCTCAACGTCCTCCTGTAGAATATCTTGTCTGTTGCCTGATGTCTCTTCATCTTTGGGGCAACTGTTCAGCACCCGCTGCCATATAAAGGGATTCAAATTACACAGCAGTTCATCATTCTGTCCTTTTCTTTAGAACAGTGGTTGTCAACTTTAGGTTTCCGCAAGTGGTCGCTCGGTGTTCCGCGAGAAATTATGAAAATATTTTTGAATAATTTTTGTTTAATATAATATTTGTAATTTTCTTATACACGTACGGCGTATTGTAGGAAAATCCTTAGTTATTATAATAAAGGCTTAAACCTCTCATCTATCTATTTAATACTAAAAGTCTTTGCGCGCGTACTTGCATGGACTGTCTGTCCGTCCAGCGCATAATAATTCAAATCCGGCGATTTACTGAGCCATTGTAAGATGTTAATATTGTTATTAACAAGCCAACTCTTCATACTCTTAGCAGTATGCTTGCGATCATTTTCATGCTGGAAGATCCAATCAGGAGGAAACCCAAGATTCTCTACAGGAAGCGATAAATATTCGCTTAGGATTTGTTGATATTTTCTGCATTCATTCTACCGTCTATAATTGCTAGTTTGCCAACACCTCTCACCGAAAATCAGCCCCAAACCATTATACTACCCCGACCAAAATTGACAGTTGGTATGGTGTTCTTGGGTGCGTATGCTTCACCGTCTTTGCTCCATACATGATTTAGGGAATTGCGACCGAACAACTCAATTTTACTCTCATCTGTCCAAAGAACTCTTCCAATAAGAATTTTCCTTATCTTTATGCTCTGTCGCAAATTACAACCTGACATCTCTATGCCGTTTCAGAAGGAGTGGTGTCCTTCTTGGGGAGAGCGACTTTATAACGTCTCTGCGTAGTTCATTACTAATCGTTTGCTTAGTTACGTTAACTCCTGACAAACTCAGATCATTCTGAAGGTCTTGTCTGATGGCCATTGGGTTATTTTGGACCTGTCACATCAACTTTCTTCGTAATTTGGGAAAGATCATCCTGGGAGCACCGGGTCTGCCTTTTTTCTCAAAAGTATTACGTTTTTTTTAATTCTTGCAATAAAAGAACCAATTGCTGAAAAAGGTATGTTCGTATCACTGGAGATGTTCCAGTAACTTTTTCCATTATTCCATAGCTTAATAATTAGCTCTTTTTGAGCACATGTCATTTCGTTACGTCTAGCCATTATTAGAACCGTTATCAGTGAACAGTGACTGCAGAATGTTCCAATATTAAACTGAAGGTTGCAATAGAGTTACTGAGAATGTTCTAGAACAGTTTAGAATCTTCTACTTTGAAGTACAACCAAAATCTTTCGTTATTTTTCTCTTGCTAATGGCCACATTTTCAATCTTCTTGCAGTTGACAGTCTTTTCTTCTCGCCTTCTTCTAACAAGTCGTTATCTGCTTACCCCACATTGTTAAGATTTCACTGTTTTACTTAACGGTCGTTTAATATAAAACAATGAACATCGCTCTGAAGAGACCGTTGATAACGTTTTTCGTGTCAGAAATATCGTATTTCTTTTTCCACAAAATCTAATGAAGAGCATCTTGAAAAATGACAAGTCATTACAAACAATAGCTGGCCATTCGTATTCGAGGATACCCTAGCCAATCCCTATTGCAGACCCTCGCGCAGGCACATTTGTGTTTCTTCAACACCCTCTGAGCCAACCTGTGTTTTATACGGCAACTATGCTGAGCAGAACTTAGTTGCAGTTTCTGGGATAGAGCGTATTATCTAGAATGATCAACAATCTGAACAACACCAGCGCACTCAAACTCTCGGCCACTATGATTGTGACAACACAGCTATCGACAGCCCCATGTTTTCTGTCTACCCAATTTAATTCAAACGCTTGGGTCAGGCCCTTTCTAAAGGTGACGCACGCTACGATAGTGTCTCCCTCTAAAGCGATAACATCCGGAAGTCTCCTTCTTAAAAAATCGAACCCGGGTCTCATGGAAAGAAAGCGAACGTTCTAATCACTGGGCCACGCGCATTTATTAACAAATAAATGGGGAATATTTAATACAATCAGTTTTGATGGAATTTTATTTTTTCAGGTGAAAGTTAATGAACAAAAACGGAAATTATTTATGACGCAACCTAAGAGAATTTTCGTCACAGCTGTTGCTGCTTTGTCAGTTCCACTGTCCTTACATATAATTCATTAAACATTCTCCTCCCAGAATGAGATCTCGTCTATGAATGGGATTTCGTCGCTGACATTGTCTACTTGTCTCCGGGCTAGCGAATTGCAAATGGAAGATTGGACAGTCTGCATCTTGAGCAAAGAATGCCTTTACTTGTTCTGCACGGAATATCATGCAAGTTATGCGTCGAATGTCGTCTTAATAAACCATTCGGCTGCCGGAACCACTCATCGATCAAACTATTTAATCATCTGTTAATATCAGACACTTCCTACCCTCGCCTTCTCGCGACAATTCGCATTCGTTATTTCTCTACTTTCTGAATATCCACTTACTTATATGCATTACGAAGTCTTCCTCGTTTTCACTCACATTTTCCCTCTATACTATATATATATATATATATATATATATATATATATATATATATATATATATATATATATATATTTGTGTGTGTTTGTGTGTGTATTCTCAGATAGAGTGTATCTGCATGGGAGACAAAATGACTAAAACAGACAAGCGGAAAAACTATTCTTAGCTAACGCGTTTACTCTGAAGGAAAATTCTCGAGAGTGCCGCCATCGAATCTTATTAAAATATAAATCTACGCCCTGTTTTCCACCTAATCTCACCATTCCTGAAATAATTACTACTTTCCCAAGCCAACAGACGCAATCAGAAATATGTTGAAAAATCAAAATAAAATAGTTAAATCCACCACTTCAGCCATTGACAATGTCTAGCACATATGTCCAGCACATACCATAACAATATAATCACAATCTAAATAATATACATGAACAATAAGTCTTGAATATTACTGGCTCAATTTATTTTTTGCCAAAGTTTGAATCATAACACTTTGTGTCCGCCATATGCTCTGAGTGACATTTCAACCATCTGATGAATATTCATGAACCTTCTCAAAATCCTTGATAAACCAATTACATCCTCGCCTTTGTATGTAAACACGTGCAGCAAAATGAATCCTACATTACCTTGATAAATTCTTCAATTGGCCAAAACAATAGATTTTTTCTTCTTTCTTCAAATTCACCCCATATATATATATATATATATATATATATATATATATATATATATATATATATATAGGTAGGTAAGTAGGTAATGAAATGTTTGGTAATCTGTATGGATAATTCCAAGGATGATGTAATCCAGTGAGCTCAATGTAAAACCAGATTGGATATTAGTTTAATAAATACAGACAACATTAAGGTCAATTGATTATATTTTATTTCCCCAGGAAAGTGATTTTCCCTCTTTCCCCTGATCACATTTCCAAGCATGCTTGGAAATGTGATCTGAGGAAACACACACACACACACGCACACATACACACACACACAGATAGATAGATAGATAGATAGATAGATAGATAGATAGATAGATAGATAGATAGATATGTATATGCTGTGTGATGGATAAATTGTCGTCTAAATTACGCAAAAAAATGAAAATAACCCTGGCAGATCCTTTTAACAGATACCAAAATTACAAAAAAATATCTTCAAATACTAATAATTAACTTCATTCAATAAAATCGACATTGGCTTCAACCACAGCCTCCAAACGACTTCGGGATCTCCTACAACTCTTCTGGACAGTCCCCTTGTTTAAGTTAGTGAATGCTGTCATAATCCCTGCATTCAATTCATCTTTAGTCTTTTAGTAAGGAGTTTCGATGGTCTCTAGTTCAACTGTGACACACACAATAATCAAGGGGGTTGCAGTCTGGGAAGTTAGGTGACCAGATGTAATGCGTGATGTCGTCGGAAAAATTGTCTAACAGCCACGACTGAGCTCTCTGCTTGTGTGGCATGGTGCGGAGTTCTGTTAATAGACAGGGCCTTCCATCAGCACTAACCGGGAAGTACTAACTCCTCTAGCATTTGATATAGGCCTCCGTGTTGATTTTAAGGTCCTGTGGGAAGATAGAGGCATGACGATTCCAATACTAGAGATCACCCCAAATATTTTCGTAATCATCATTAAACTCATCCAATTCTTTGCGAATCTCCTGCACCGTTCTCAGAAACACTGTGGAATGTTCGTATTGGTGCTTCCGTCGCGAATGCTAAGAAGTACAGAATGCTATTTCCAAATTCCTGGCGGAGCGAATTGCGCCAGAGAGTTCGTTTTTCTCACAGACAGTGTCCAAGTATACTTACGACACTGTCTAGTCGATGAAGCAAAAACAAACGCGCATGCGCGATATTTAAAATATAAAATGTTGACAATTTACACATTGCATCCTATATATATATATAAATATAAAGAAAGCACAGTAAGATATATAATCCGGTGTTCTTATTGATGTTTGTTTATTTTTACAAAACAGTGCTCGTTGTAAATTTACAGAGCATAAATATTATAAATTAACTGATTTAAAATATGGCTTCTTCGCTACACAGTAACAACTATGTTTTAAAAACTGAAGCTAAAAACTTCAAATGTAATTATATAATTATATAATTAAATTAAAAGCATTAGTTCTGTTTCATCTTTAAGCGAATGGTTGTTACTGTGTAGTAAATTTTTGCATTTTATACCCGATATATAAGTCGCCCCCTAGTTTTAGGCTTGAAAACTTGACTTACTATCATGAAAATGCGCAGACGAGACGCATACTATAGCTAGTTGTCAGAATGTCCGCCTGAGTTAAACGGCGCTTCGGTCACTATTTATACTTCGTTTTTCAGCTGTTGGACGCGATGCATGCTGTAGTATTAATAGATAGTATTATATTCTGTTACTATTTTATTATTGTATATTAATTTCTGTGTTAATATGCCAAATATGTTCACAAAACACAAGTTTTAGTTTGGTAGATTTGTGGCAGCCTGTCGGAGGTGTGGCAATTCGTGTACAGCAATTGTTGGGAGTGCTCTCCCACTTGTTTACAACTCGGCGGTAAAGATTTGTATTTTATACACGCCATATAAGTAATATCAGGAAGAGGCAGCTGAGGTTTCTGGGACACATAATGAGGAAGGAGGGCTTGGAGAATCTGATACACACGGGTCGAATAGAGGGAAACAGAGACAAGGGAAAACAATGCGTGAAATAACTGGTGGGCTTAAGCAAGTGGATGACAGAACGTGGTCTGGAGGAGAAAGCAGGGGTAAGGAACGTTGAGAGCTACAAGGGATAGAAGGAGGTGGAGAGCCATGATCGCCTACGCCCTGAAAGAACATGTTATATAAAAAGAAAAGAAGTTGACTCCTAGTTATGGAAAAAATATTTTTAGGTTTAAAAAATCTTCGAAATAATAGTCACATTTTTTTCTTCATATCTTGAGTGTGGTGCGTATAAATTTGCTTAAACTTCTTTAAACCTAATTTTATTTCTTTCTCGCCATGATACGGGTAACTTTTTTATGTCTTTGTTCTTTGTTCACTTCATTGTAATATATATATATATATATATATATATATATATATATATAGAGAGAGAGAGAGAGAGAGAGAGAGAGAGAGAGGAAAGAGAAAGAGAATTAATATAAGTAAAGGTTTGTCATTTAGTTGATTTTTTGATCTTCAGGATCCCGACTCCTGAGTTCCGTAGACGGACGCGTCCGTCCACTCGTCAGAGGTATATCATTGACTGCTTATATTTCTCGATCTTTCTTTTCTATGGTCTTATCTTTGTTTTAAGATTTTTTCACGAATTTTTTTTTTTGTTCCCGTGTGCTGTTTAGCGCATGCGCTCAAGCATTCGACTGCGTTCGCGCTTGTGCGGCTCTTTGCGTGCGTGTGCGTACGTGTAAGACCGGTTTCTACCCAAGGCTATAGATCCAAGACTGTCCTGCTATTTATAGCTGGACAGTCTTGGGTCTATAGCCGGACTGGGTAGAATAGATGGATACATACCTTTCTCAAGGTTATTAAGCACATAAACGAATCTAATGTATCTTGAATTTTCGTTGACCTTAACGGTGTCAGCATTTTAAACCATTGGCAGTTTTCGCAAGGATCATACGTGTAAACATCTTTTGCATCAGAAACAGGAAACGATGATTATTTTTCGTCTAGGAATAAATACAGTTCTTCTTTTACAAATAATTTTGTACAAGTAAATAAACTCACATACCAAAACGTGTGAATGGGTGTTAATCACTCTGTCATCAAGAGCAATATCTGGGCACTTCGACATGGTGTGAGGAGTAGCAAGTTTATCTCGCTAGATCACTTACGGCTGAGCAGTGAGGTTGATCATCACTAGGTACCCATACTTGCGGCCTTGTTCCAAAATTAAGCAATGCTGAGTAAATCATCCTCAGGGATAATGTTATGACAAAACTTCACAATTTTTTTATAGAACGAATCGTTTCTCCAAAGAAAAAATCGGCTTTTCTTCATTTCTAAGGCTCATGTGCAGTCTTTATTTTCTGAAAAATGGCTCCGTTATCTTTAATGAAAAAGTATTTTGATTTTTTGTACTGCTCCCCACCAAATGATATACTGTAATTCATGGGCCTCGCCTTATGATGCACAGTATTTCATGCGTCTCGCCTTATGATGTACTGTACTTCATGCGTCTCGCCTTATGATGTACTGTACTTCATGCGGCTCGCTATATGATGTACTGTACTTCATGCGGCTCGCCTTATGATGTACTGTACTTCATGCGACTCTCTATATGATGTACTGTACTTCATGCGGCTCGCCTTACGATGTACTGTACTTCGTGCGGCTTGCCTTATGATGTACTGTACTTCGTGCGGCTTGCCTTATGATGTACTGTACTTCGTGCGGCTTGCCTTATTATGTATTGCAGTTGATGCGGCTCGCCTTATGATGTATTGTATTTCAGTTCAAATTGCTCGAAGTTAGTATGAGGCACATTGAGATCTGAAAGGTCACTATTTAACTTGGCTTTATAACTGAACAACGGTCGTCAGTCCATTTTCCACCGGCTATACATAGCTGTCGTCATTCATGCCAGCCTGGTGAAGTTGCGACTGCATCAGGAAAGTCTCAATTCCATCAATGTTGCCTTTTGCGAGAAGAACAGCGATATATATATATATATATATATATATATATATATATATATATGATAGATATATATATATATATATATATATATATATATATATATATATATATATATATATATTATCATCTACAGACAGACGGTTTCGCGGTATCACAGCTTTTCAGTGTGTCTCTTGCTTCAAACAACTTAACCAATTTGACATCAGCCGGAGTCTCTTACGCTAGACTATCGCCTACTGAGAAAGTGAATTTTTAATGCATTATGTATGTGATATAAGCAATATCATCTGCCAGAGTGGGCTAGTCGTTACGAAGGTGTTAGCATTATAGCAGCATCAGACGTCAAATATCCTTTCTTCCAATGTGTTCAACTGACTAACGGAAGCATATATATATATATATATATATATATATATATATAGAGAGAGAGAGAGAGAGAGAGAGAGAGAGAGATATTATTCATATATATATATATATATATATATATATATATATATATAAGTGAATATTTATTTACTTATAATTAAATAAATAAAAAACAAATAAACATTAATCCAAATACATAAATAAACTATCAAATCGCACCCGCTAAAATAAGCGTTAGAACTAATAAAATAAGAAAATAAATTGGTAAAAACAAGTACAAATAATGAATTCAAATAAATAAATAAATTAAATACTGTCCCCTCTCCCTGCCATAATAACAGAATAGTCTACGGCATGCAATTTAAACAGTGAATGAATAAATAGCTTTAATTATCTTCACAGACCAAATCACACTATTAAATAAGCGTCCTAAGCGAATCCCACCCCCACTTTTTTACTGCGTTAATAGAAAAAAACGAAAAGAATAAATAATATAAAATGAAACTGAAAAACAAGTAAAATAAATTTACCCATCAAATAAATATATAAATAAACAGACAAGCCACTCCGGCAAAAAATAACCACCAGAATAGATTACCCACAGCGCACCACTGACCTATATATATAAATAGTCGAGGAAAAATCCAACATTTGTGGTCCGATGATTGCGTCTAGCATGAAACAGAACGTCGCCTCTAAGTATTGACTTAAATGTTCACTTTTATATTTATATTTACATACGCTCTATCTCTGTTATTGGGCACTTTATATATATATATATATATATATAAAGTGGAACATTAGATGATGGAATCATGCATCGGTGTGCTAAGGCTACCAGTGCTTTCGGCAAACTTCGCCATCGCTTGTGGAATGAGTCGGGTATTCGACTGGATACAAAAGTTCGGGTTTACAGAGCTGTTGTACTTGCCGTCCTTTTGTATGGCTCAGAGTCATGGACTCCATACAGGTACCATATACGCCAGCTAGATCTTTTCCATTAAAACTGTCTGCGTGCAATCTGCGGAGTTAAGGTTCATCTAAGGACATCTAACGTAGACCTGTTTAACAGGTGTAATATTGGAGGAATCGAGACTTTTATCATACAGTCTCAGTTACGCTGGACTGGTCATGTCTTGAGAATGTCTGATGAGAGGGTACCCAAGATCTTAATGTACAGCCAGTTAGATCAGGGCTACAGGAATGTAGGACGCCCATGGCTAAGATACAAAGACAAGCTGAAAACCAACTTGTCAGCAGTCAGTATACCACATAACACCCTTGAGCGCTTAGCTTTGGCGCGGGTAGAATGGAGATCAACGTGTTTCAGTGGACTCAGCAATTTTCAATCTGCTTGTCTGAATCCTCTTCAAGAAGCAAGAGCAAGATCTAAAAGGTCAGCCAATCTAACAGTGATCTCATCTCACAATTCTAACACCTGCTCCATATGTGGCCTCCTTTGTAAATCACTAGCGGGTCTTCAATGCCACTTAAGATTATCGCATAATCTTTCATAACTGAATCAATAAGCTGGCAGATCCTCATACGTCAAAACCGACGGGAGAGCCCATTATTATTATTATTATTATTATTATTATTATTATTATATATTACCGATCAAAAGTTTGGTGCAAGACCAGATTTTTTTCTCTAAGTTCATAAAAAAAGGCTAATTTTGCATATTTGGATAAATGAATTCACCTACTGTGTATATATCCAAACCATTATGTAAAATTCAAACACATTTTTCTCCAAGCATTATAAATTTATTTTCATTAGCTCTGGAAATTTCTTTAGAACCTGATACCGTTTCTGAACTGTAGAGCAGACATTTACAAAAGTTTCAGTTCCACCGCTTGGTGGAGCTCCAATTTCATCTCGATGAATGTGTGATTGAAATTTATTTTCAGAAACCGGTAAGAACTAAACAGATTAGTAGTGAAAAAAAGAGCCCAAGTAGAAATTCTTTTTATTGAATGGTATTCCGAATGTCAGATTACGAGGAAATTACAGATATATAAAAAAAATAATGCGGTGCATTATTACCTGCAGTGATATGCAGAAACCGGCAAAAATGTTCGCAGAAAAAGATCTGTGAGGCCCAGAACAACATCTATTGCCTAGAATAGACACTTAATCGCGTTTAGTAAAAGGAAAAGACGAAAATAGCTCCATAACTAATTACTTGATTTAGTTGTACACGTCAACATTCATTCAATACTGCACAGGCATGCAATTCCGCATTATTGAACAAAGTTTTATTGTTTTGCAACAAGATAATGACCCAAAACACAACTGAAAACTGTGTAGAGATTATCTAAAGTCAACTGTACTCGTCTGGGAAAGATAAATTACGATGTGAACTACCTAAGACTAAGCAAGAGTTGTTTACACATTTATACAATGCTTAGGAATCTCTTCCACCAATATACTTTTACAAGTTACCAGAAAGGATGGCAAGAATAAATGTTTGTGTTGGATTGTCTGATGAAAACAATATATAAATTTGCATTATACTATATACATTATTCTGAGTACTGTCCTCATATTTGTCGCCATACTTATTACAAAGTTTCGGCCATTGTACGCTCCGGCCTTCTTCAGACGAATACTGGTCCGTTCTTCTAGGGATGAGTCAGAGGCCAATTCCAACCACTTCAAGAAGGCCGGAGCGTACAACGGCCGAAACGTTGTAATAAACATGGCGACAATGTAAATAGTCCACACACTGTACTTTATATATAAGATCTGTATGTTCTTTTTCCATATCAACAATGTGTAAAAAATTCAGATAGAATATATCTGTAAAAAGCACAGTACAATGACAAAATGTTATTCAAATATATATAACAGATGAATTAATCTCAAACTAAAATAATTTTAATACGAATTTGAATAAAAAAAAATTGAAACATTACTTACTCGTTTATTAGACGTTAAATTGTCTCACTTCGTGTCTTCCATAGCTTTCCTGACCTTTCAGCTAACCTGATGAATATTTATGAGAGGTCTTAAACTTAAAAACTTCGTAAAACAAATAACATTTTTGCTTTTATATATAAATACTTGTTACAAAATACAATCCTTGCATTTACCTTGATAAAGTGTCTCAGAGAACAAAATGCGGAGGCTAAGATAAGTTTTACTTTTGTCTTTAATCATATTGTCCTTTTACAGATATATTCTCTCAAATTTTTAAAGATATACACATATATATATATATATATATATATATATATATATAGTGTATATTTAGGCAGCAATGTTTCATTGATGAATGTTTTATTAAATAATATAGACAAGTTGTGTCTGTCTGTTTTTATTGCTTTGAAATTTTTCATACAACAAAAACAGAATATCATAATTGTTTCGTCCTTGTATTGTTTGATATATTGAAATGTAATTGTCATCTTTGATAATGGCTTAGGTAAGCCGAAAGCTTAGATCGGATTTAAACATGTATCAATATGGTAATTTCTTTTCGTCCTTCAATGATAATATTATTAAGCTTATCAGACAATATGAAAGGAACTTACTTAAAATAAATAGACAAAACTTGTCTATATTATTTAATGAAACATGCATCAATATATATATATATATATATATATATATATATATATATATATATATATATATATATTATATAAATTAAAAGAAATGGACAAAGTCCGACAATTTATTTATTAAAGACATTTCGAATCCTGTCAAAGGACGAATATTTTCTATGAAAATTTCTCGGACATTCAGACCGGTAAATGTTATTTAATACTGTTTATTATAAACAGAGCATTTACTTAAATACTTGTATCTATAAAAAGAACGTTAAACATAAAATGTCTTTAATAAATGTATATATATATATATCACAAATTTTAATTACAAAAATCAGACGCTATAATAAAAAATCAAATTTTAAGAGTGTATCATTTCTTTCATAATAATGACTAATGATGGATGAAAGTACTCGAACCTATGAACAATTTAAATAACGCAAATAAAACAACATTGGAACTACTAATAAAGTATCAGTGGTCTTTTATAAAATTTAGCTAACACTCACATACGCACCTTTACATGCACAGACCTTTGTAGATTTCAAAATTGGAAATTGCACAATGCTTTCTTTACGCCTGCCGACAAATTTCCATCGGCCAGGACGCACCCAGAAGGAATTTATATTCATCCCATTTCTTCCGGAGCTGTTTTTGTTCTTGTTATTGTCTTGTGTTGACGGTTGGCCGGCCAACAGATACAGCATTCCTCTGGCGTAGAGCGAAGCCAAATTTAATGTCTCATAATTAGAACACGACAAGGATTCGATTTGAAATCGAGTTTCAGCTTCGTAACCAATCATAGGAAACAGTTCAATTCGCAGTTGGCTATTTGCCTGCTTAAATGGTATTTGCTGAAAAGAACAGACTCTTTCCCTACTTCCTTAACCCATCCTACCTGATATATATATATATATATATATATATATATATATATATATGTGTGTGTGTGTGTGTGTGTGTGTGTGTGTGTGTGTGCTTCAAGAATACCATCTCCTGTGGTGAACGATATCTTATTTAAAGTGGGCTGTTTATTTTGTATGATAATAGCATCTAAAGGTTTTAGTCTTTCCTTGCAATTGGTGCTATAATGTATTCTAGTGTTGTCAAGTAATATTTTTCCATGTGGATAGTTACCTTTTAGTCGATCATGATGCGTTGGTCGATGTGTGCACGGATTGCGCTAAGTTTCGACAGGTGACAGGTCAATATAAATAAGGGTTACAAGTAAAAACTCAAACTTTTTATTCAAGCTTTCTTGTGTTCGTATAACTGTTTTCTTTGCTAGACGTCCCATGTGCAAAACTGCTTCTCTGGCTTTTGGAACTCTCTTCTGGCTTCTTGATTCTGGCTTCAACTTCGATCTTCAAAATATTAAATGTAATGGCAATCGTTATCTACTGTCTTCTGATTCCTCTTCTATTGCTCTCACTCCGTTATACTACGTTTTTCTTATTCTTTCACACTCAATAAACCCTTGTGTCTTAGTGAATTTATTTCCTTGCTTGAAACGAAATGATTAAAAAGGATTGATATATCCTTAACGCAAATGTACAGGTGAGATCTAATTTAGTATTTCATTTCTGATATGAGTGATGTCAATAAACTTTTTACTTCGGACTGTTGTTCTCATCTTTGTTAATTTAGATGTCATTATAGACAAAACATTTCAGCTAAGTACCCAGGAGCTATCATCATCTAATTATTAGCCTGATATGAAAAATATTTTGAGTATTGTGTTATGTTATGCCTGTGAAACCAGTTCCTGCTTAAATAGTGTTCCATTACCTGATCCAAGAAGTGAACTGACGGCCACTAAATGCCAGTAACGGATTTCTTATCAACTCCGATATCAACTATTCTAATGTCGCGAAGTATACGTTACGTCTACACAACCAATGAAAAGAAAGGCAACAGAATTTAAAAATTTGCTCCCGCTGTACATCTCGAGATTCTTAACAAAAACCGACGAAGGATCTGTTATATAATCGACCCTGATCTGGCATCTTGACTTCCGTCACTTTCTCACCGATATGACGTGGCTTCTCTCTGTCTTTTCTACAAATATCTTCATGACAACTGCTGTGACGATCCATTTCGCTGGTATACAGAATACACGAATTTAAGCATACTACTAGATTGGCATATAGGTCCCAACCTCTTACTGTTCAAATAGCTAAATGCAACCGCCACTTCTACTCCAAGAGTTTCTTTTCTCGCACTTCACACCTGTGGAAATCCCTTCCGTTTACTTGCTTCACTGATAAGTACCGTCTTAAATGCAACATCAATAACCATTTTCTCTCTTTTTGAATCCCGTTCATCTTTTATTCTTTCCTCAATCGCTATTTTCAGCCATCTCCTTCACTCCCACTCTTCGTAATGCAGCGTTGATTGAGGTGAAATGCTCTTATATAATTAAAAAAAAGAATCTGAACCATCCCACTCGAAAAATAGCAAAATTGCCATATATATATATATATATATATATATATATATATATATATATATAATTATTTATTTAGAAAATTTATAACATAAAAATGTTATAAAATCACTACAAAAATAGCCATTTTGTTTCAACACTCCCGGTGTCTTATCAAGTGATAATGTTGAATGCAAAACAAATGGTTTTAAAAGCTTCAAATTAATTAATGATCCTTCGCTAGGGGAAAAGGTTGTTCCAAAAGCTAGAATGACCAATCAAAAGTATAGGAAAATTCAAAAAGCCTGACAACAGAGTCATGTTATAATTGCTATTCAGATCTTTAAAATACGGGTAAAATTAAAAAAAAGAATTTATTCTAATCAATAATTATTAAATTATATGATAGAATTTGATATTAAAATTAAAAACTGCCAATTTTAAAATCCGAATTTAATCACTATTAAGTTTAAAATTATAAATTACCGAGGAGAAAAGGGGAAATACATACGTTATTCAATTTGTTTCTTCGTTGAAATTACGTTAGAATAAGACGTTACTCCATCCGGTCATGGAAATATATATATATATATATATATATATATATATATATATATATGTATGTATGTATTTCCATTTTTAATGATCTAGTTCTTTTGGAAATCTCTATTTCCCTAGTTGGGCACGCCCTTCAGTGTGGTGTAATGGTTAATAAGCTCGACTCGCTCATTCAGTTACAACTGAGTAGTGAGTTCGATCAGCCTTCGCGCTCCTTAATCTCGTCTTAATAAATGTATTTGGGCACTTTGACGTGGTGTGATCTTTAGCAGGTTTGTCTTGCTACACGAGTTATGACCAAATTGTGAGTTCGTTCTTCATTGGGTCCTCCATATTTACAGATTTTGTCACATCTAAGCTATGCTTAATAAATCCTTATAAACAAAAGAGCAATTCGACGTGGTATAAGTTTATCCCTCTAGAATAATTTCGTACTAGTTGCCAAAGGTATCAGCACTCTTACGTGAATATAACGAACCCAACTTGAATTGGAACTCAAGTCTCCGATTTCCAATTGAGAGACATTATCCATTAGATCAGCCATCCATCTTAACTTACCGCACCTGATATTCCAAAGCGGTCACTCATGTATGTAATGATCAGTCTCGACTTTGCTTAACTTCGGTGATCGTACGAGAATCAGTGTTTCAACGTAATATAGCCGTAAGCCGCTGACTATTTGCAAAAACAATGATATATATCATAATTCTGGAAAAGAAGGCGTATATTCTGACATCGGGTCATATATTCTAGTCTGTCTCCATATATTCGGGCGTGTGCTAACAGTTGGCCTACGGATACATTGTCTACGGACATTATGCCTACCTGATATCAAACATTATGCCTCCGAACAACCTGCCTATCTGGCACCAATCATTATGTCTAACGCATATGATGTATCTTTAGGGCGGCAATCTAGTGTCATTCGGAGAATAACTGTTTTACGTAAGAAGTCCTCCTATTATGTCGTTTTTCGTCTTTACGTAGTTTTTTTCTTCTCGCATCGCCAAATAGTGTAGCATTTCACTTGTTCTGTCAATTATACCTTTGTGCAAATTATTTGAAGCAAACGCTTTAGTTTCCTTTCTTTCACCATACGGTCAGTTTTAGACCCACCGAAGTGCCAGAGTGTAATAGATTTCTATTTCTTCTCAGTTTAAGTCATTTGCAGTGGTGTGCAGTAATACGAATCTATTTTCAAGGTGCATGTTGAAATTTGTTTGGCCTTGAAAAATATTGCATCATCCGTGATTGTATCAGATTTTTATCACGCCCAGACACTATTGTCTCGTGTGTCGATTAGTTGTCCTACAGCCATTGTCTGCGATCGACGTTACTCCAAGGAAGCATACGAAAATTTGTAGCGCTGCACAAACATATCCACAAGCCTTACCAGTGAGCAAATCAAAGTATTATAAAGCCTCCTCTGGTATTTGCGATCAACTCTATTTTGATGGGAATCTGTAAAAAATATTCTAAACGCGTATTAAGACATTAATAACGAAGTACTAAAAACTAATACGGAAGATACGATTATTATTATTATTATTATTATTATTATTATTTGGTTAGATTGAGCATACCTATATGGAAGAAAATGTCTACCCCCGAGAATATCTCCGATCCTATATATCCATCCCTCGAATGGCCGGTATTCTCTAGCATTCGACAACAATTCCCTAGAACAATTAATTATGCAAAGATCTGTCACGAAATTTTTAACCAAAGAATTGTTATAAAGCATACTAATATATCCAGTTTTGCTAAATATCATCGACGTATAGTATTGTTCTACGACACATGATCAGTACTCAACTTTCTCTGACTCTTTACATCTCCTATAACCAACAAGTAGTTAAAATCTTGTTCGCCGATGACATTACACGTCCCTGAATCGAAGAGTTTTCATGCCTTTCCTTATTTTTCAACCTCTACAAAACTCTTTCCTCATCTCCCCCCCTTGAGGTTTATATCGTGTTCTTTTTAATGAAGATATTTGTCTCATCTCATCTTCTTTCATGTCCGAGTCATTTCTGCTATCATTCATAGACGTGTCTTCTATTGCAATATCCTGATCTGAAGAACTCATCCTTTCTTCTCCGTCAAGATCTTCTCCCATCACAACGTCTCCCTTTTCAATTCTGGATCGTAATTGATCAGAATGAGCTATCAGGCTTTTCCCTTTCTTTGATATAAGGGCCTCGTTATGTCCCCACTGCCTGCTCTCTCAAGACTTGCTACTTTGTCTTTTTTATACTAGATCTTTTCATTTGTCGAGTAAGATATTGTTAATGAAGACCTCATTTTCATTCCCATTAACGCATACAGGTTTTGCAATCTGTTAGCATGTAGAATCGACCTGTAACTAAGCAGTAACCTTGGTAAGTCCCTGTCTATAGAATCTCTGCTTGGGGAAAATGCCTTCAATCCTATTTTTACTGTCTGCACCATTCTTTCCGCAATCACATCAGATTATGGTATTGTTTTATAAAGGAAGCAGCCGATCAGCCTCAAACAATTACATAAATCTTCATCGTAAAATTCTGATGCATTGTCTGTTAGCAATGTTTTGGGAACCCCATTTATATAAAATATCATTCTTAATATTTGCTCTATTGTAGTCGTTCACATTACTTGATATTGAGACAGATTTGGGGAAATTCAGGCGATACCATATCGGAAGAGGTAGTTGAGAGTTCGAGGGGACATAATGAGGAAGTAGGG